ATTTGTAAGATTATTGTGGACATTATTATATCTTATATTGACTATTATTTCGCATTATTATACATTTGTGACCCGCTCGATCAGTTGGAAGTCAGAAAAAAGGCAGAATCAGTATAATCTCTCTTCAAAGCAGTGTATAGGTTATTATAAAAATAATCCATTTCAATTATGCCAATGTGTGGTTGTTTTCCTGCATTTTCATTTTTTTATTTTGCTCTGTTTGGGACATTTCTGGGCATACAAGACATGCAAGAGAATGCCACAGAAATTGAATCTGGGGTTTGCTTCCATCGGTTGTCAAGCAGCTTAACTTTAACTGTGGCTTGGGAACGCTGGTGATGTCAAGCGGTGGAGGAGAGACCAACTTTGAATGTTGTTTTTGCAAATTACACTGTCCAATCCAACTTCCTTTCACTTGTTATGTCTCTCTGATAACATCTGTAGGATACTATGCTGAAAATATACACAGGGAAAGTCCTTCAGAAGGAACTAAAACAGGCGGGGGACGTTCATCTTGACACACTTGTACACTTGGGTGAATTATAAAAAAGGTGTACAACAGTCAAGTCGGATTCATTACTCACAAGCGTCTAATTCCTGATTCCACCTGATCAGTTGAAGTGGACCACGGTGGAGGAGATGGAGGACACTCAATGGAGCTGACGTCATCCTCGAACTCCTCACTGAGGGATGTGGAAGAGGTAACTGTTAACCTTTGCCTGAGTTGAATGTACAGTACAGATCATCTTAATTAAAGATACATACCTTTTACAATAAGCCAGCTCTTCCTGCAGTATGAACACTTGGGCCTTGAGTTGATTCTTCTCCTGCAGGACGTCCCGCAGCTCCTGCAGGGTGAAGCGAGGTGTGTCCGTCTCCAGGCTGTCTGACTCCTCCTTTGGCTTTGTATCAGTTGACACCTTCTGCAGAACAAACATCCACCATTTCTCTCAAGCATGAGGGTTAAGACTGATACATGTCTGCCAACACATGGTGTTAGTGGGGACATATCAGACGACGAACCACAAAAGAAAGCAATGAGATAATAATAACATTTGTCTCCAAAATGTTTGTAAAGCCTAAAGGACACACAAGATCCACAGAGGGATCATGCTTTGTGTTTATTGTAAATAGTCTTATAGTGGGTCTCTGCTATAACCGGTCTGTGTACAGGAGAGTAAAAAAAGTGTTACCAGTGACAGTGCTGTGGTTTCCTCCTCTTCGTCATCCTCTTCCTTATTATTTTCTCTCTTCGATGACCTCCGGAGAACCGAAGGACTCTTCTCATGCTCGAAGCAGTTTGCCAGGAAGCCAGGGTCCCCTCCACACTCCACCCACACTGACTTTGGTTTGAGGGAGTTTGATGTCGAAGGCTGGATTGGGAACACAAGCATCCACTTAGGCACAAGAACACCTGCCAAATGAACTATGGATGAACCTCATTTTAACGCAATTGACTCTTTCTGACTTTCTGGTTGTAAGCAGGATTACGGAAAAACTGCTGACCACGATTTCATGAAGATTGGTAAAAGAGGACAGCATGGGCCAAGGAGGGAGCTATTACATTTGTGAGGTGATCAACGTCAAACTCCCTCAAACCGCTCCTCCGCTCCCTTCACTGGCTTCCGGTAACTGCTAGAATCCACTTCAAGACACTGGTACTTGCGTACCATGCTGTGAATGGATNAGCAAGATATATGATTTCATACCTGTCAGAGAGTGACGTCTACCGCATCTCCTGACATCTCTGGTGACAGACTTGATACTGTAATCATAGTATCTGTCAAAGATGCGGTAGACGTCACTCTCTGACAGGTATGAAATCATATATCTTGCTACACTGGATAATGCTTACTAATCTGACTTCTCCTGCAGAGATCAACGGTTCCATCTTCGCTTAGCAGTGAAACCTCCAACCGAAGTAGCACTCATCAGGCACTGGATCCATAACCAATGTAAACCCTGTAAAGAAAATATATAATTTAAAAAAAAGGTTAATATACTTACATGTCCATCTATGCTAATATTCTATTCTAATAGCCTACCCATTTCCAGTGTTATTATTGACTGATTTACATTGAATGATATCCACGCTAACAGTAGACTACATCAATAGCTAGCATCATGAGAAATAAAAACAAATGTATACAAATGTGAAATAATAGTCAATATAAGATATAATAGTTTCCACAATCATCTTAGAAATAAAATACTCACAGATTATGCTTCATCAAGGGCATAAAAGAAGTGGATGGATGATCCAAAGAGTTGCATTCCCCAGCGTGTTTTTGTCTTAACTAGCAAACTCAAATAGCTAGGAATAATAAAGGAACTGCACCATCGGGAGCGCCAAATACAGTCTGGAGGCAGAATACTTATGACAACAAAATCTTGCAATTATGGTATAATTACATAATCACAGGGTATATTACACTTTAGATGAAATGGTTACAAGATGTTTTAAATGTGACATGAAAAGCATATACATTTTTATTTTTTAAATCCATTGGTCTGGATCTCAAAAGCTCAATGGGTGTAGGAAGGTTCATCCAGCGACCTGTTTTGCTGGCTTGGCATAAAAGGGTTAATATTCATTAATTTGGAACACATGACCTCCTTTATGAATAAACATTGGATAAAGCAAATTTGGTGCATTTAATTTGAGAATTTTGCATGAAATCTCATAAATCCTTATTTTTCAGGGATTTGGGAATTTTGGGCATAAAGGGGTTAATATCCGAAAATGCTCAAGGGATATCACCGGGCACCCTCTTGGATTTTGAAGAGATACCCCGAGTGGCGTCGCCTGGCCTGGGCTAAGCCCCGAATGTTTCCAGGTCCAGGCGACGCTCCTGGGTACCCCCAAGCTACAAGAAATAGCAGAGAAACAAGGTTCAACCCCACGGCTCCCGGACTATTAATACATTTTTTTAAAGTGTATTTGAATTAGTAATATACTCCAGATTTGCGTAATAAAAAAACTGCATATGTTAAGAGAAATAAATAATAATATTAGAAAAGTAAATAATAAAAAAATAAACTGAAATACTATTTTCGTTTGTTTTAATAAGTATTTTTTATTTTGTAGTAAAACTGTAATTCAATCACAACATGTTAATATGATGTGGGTACATATTGTGTGTGTGTACCTTTTGCACGGCCCTGCCTGTTTATATCCCAGATGCCCAAGGAAAATAATAAGCAGTAACCAACTTATTTATAAACTACTAGGCCCTATTAGTAATATCACAGAAATATTAGCCTACCTATAAGGTGACGATAAAGGCACATTTCATTCAATATTAAGGCTTTTGGGTCATTCTACAGAAAAGGTGGAAGTACTGTCACTTACTTTTGCAGACACCAAAATACATGACGTTGATATAATACTCACATTCATTATATATGTTGAATAAATAGAGATTGTCTTTGCAATGGTACTAAATAAAAAACATTAAAAAATTGTTTTATACAAATTGCTATTTATTTAAAATGCCAAGTTCAAGGAACTACCTTGTCACTTTGATCATACATGGAAGTGGAGCCTATAGTTTTCATTTAAAAAAATGTTTTTTCAATAAATAAATCTCATTCATATTTACATAACATTACATACATTGATTATAACACTGAAATGGTAACAAAAAACGCAAATTATTATTAATAATATCCAATAAATGTCAGTCACCCAAAATTACGTCATTGGTGTTACTGCTACACAAAACGCTTTTATTTTTGAAATAATGTACTGTCTCTGAAGTGCCTCCTGTAACAAGAGATCATTTGAGGCAGTGCAGTGGACAAAAACATAAGGAAAGTCAAAAACGTCTTACTTTGTTTGTTAAAGGTGTCATTTTATCTTCAAATTTTACGTGCGTCTTTCAAGTCTGTCTTTAGTGTTACTCATTGCATAGCCCTAGGCAGGGCCGCCTTAATGCACGGGCTGACCTGGGCTGAAGTCCAGGGGCCTACGGAGATCGGGGGCCTATCATGAGCCAATTAAAAAAAAAATTAAAAAAAATTAAAAAAATTAATTTTTTTATTTTGGGTGTTTTAAAAAAAAAAGTTAAATAAACAAAGTCTTGGCTTTCAGAATATGAAACTTTCATTTCCAAAATCACACGATAAATACATTTTTGAAGCTTGTAAAGGGAAGACAACAGCTCTCCCTCCCACTCTGCTGTTCCACAGCGCCGCCCCCCTCCCTCCACTGAAATTATTAATGTAAAACGTATAGTANTTACAAGTAGACGCTTTCACTACATCTTTATATGAATAATAGGGATAATATAAAAAGACAAAATCGCTCCACCTCTTAACCATCTATCCATACGTGCAGCACGCCCATCACCTAGCCTGTTCTACACCATTCCCGCTTTTGGTTAACCTTAATTTTATGGGTTTCTCAATTTTGACATAGGTACAAACATGCAGATCTTTGTGAAGACCCTCACTGGCAAAACATCACCTAGAGGTTGAGCCAAGTGACACAATTGAGAATGTCCAAAGCTAAGATCCAGGATAAGGGAAGGCAATTTCCCCCTGGACCAGCAAAGGCTGATCTTTGCTGGCAAAGCAGCTGGAAGATGGCCCGCACCTCTCTCTGACTACAACATCCAGAAGGAGTCGGACCCTCCACCTTGTCCTCCGTCTGGAGGGGAGGCATGCAGATCTTTGTGAAACCTGCCACTGGCAAGACTATCACCTTAGAGTTGAGGCCCAGCGACAGTATTGAGAATGTGAAGGCTAGATCCCAGGGACAAGGAAGGTATTCCCCCGACCAGCAGAGGCTAATCTTATGCCGGCAAGCAGCTTTGAGGATGGGTCCGCAGCCCTGCTCCGCTACAACATCCAGAAGGAGTCACCCTGCCACCTTGTTCCTGCGTCTCAGGGAGGCATGCAGATCTTTGTGAAGACCCTCACCGGCAAGAGCCATCACCCTGGAGGTTGAGGCAAGTGACACCCATTGAGAACGTGAAAGCAAGATCCAGACAAGGAGGCATTCCCCCCGACCAGCAGAGTGCTGATCTTTGCCGGCAAGCAGCTTGCAAGGACTGGCCGCACACTCTTCCGACTAACAACATCAGAAGAGTCGGACCCTCCACCTTGGTCCTGCGTCTTCAGGGGAGGCATTCAGTCTTGTGAAGACCCTTCACTGCAAGACCATCACACTTGAGGTTGAGGGCAAGTGACTCCATTTGAGAATGTGAAGGCTAATGATCCAGGACAAGGAAGGGGCATTCCCCCCGACCAGCAGAGGCTGATCTTTGCTGGGCAAGCAGCTTTGAGGATGGCCGCACACTCTCCGGACTACACATTCCAGAAGGGTCGACCCTCCAACCTTGTCCCTGCGTCTCAGGGGAGGCATGCAGATCTTTTGTGAAGACCCTCACCGGCAAGACCATCACCCTGGAGGTTGAGGCAAGTGACTCCGCAGTTGAGAATGTCGCGCAAGGCCAAGATCAGGGACAAGGAAGGCATGTCCCCCCGACAGCAGAGGCTATCTTTGCTGTAAGCAGCTTGAGGATGTCGCACCTCTCCCGACTACACAACATCCAGAAGGACGACCCTCACCTTTGTCCTTTCGTCTGAGGGGAGGTTATGGCAGATCTTCGTTAAGACCCTTCACTGGCAAGGACATCACCTTGAGGTTGAGGCAAGTGACTCCATTGAGAATGTGAAGGCCAAGATCCAGGACAAGGAAGGCATTCCCGCCCGACCAAGCAGAGGCTGGATCTTTGCTGGTAAGCAGCTGAGGATGGTCGCGACACTCTCCGACTACAACATCCAGACAGGAGTCGACCTCCACTTGTCCTTCGTCTGAGGGGAGGTATGCAGATTCCTTCGTTAAGCACCCTCACTGGCAAGGACCATCACCCTTGAGTTGAGGCAAGTGACATCCATTGAGAATGTGAAGGCAAGATCCAGGACAAGGAAGGCTTCCCCCGACCGCAGAGGCTGATCTTTGCCGGCAAGCAGCTTGAGGATGGCCGCACCCTCTCCGACTACAACATCCAGAAGGAGTCAACCCTCCACCTTGTCCTGCGTCTCAGAGGAGGTATGCAGATCTTTGTGAAGACTCTCACTGGCAAGACCATCACCCTGGAGGTTGAGCCCAGCGACACCATTGAGAATGTCAAAGCTAAGATCCAGGATAAAGAAGGCATTCCCCCTGACCAGCAGAGGCTGATCTTTGCTGGAAAGCAGCTGGAGGATGGCCGCACTCTCTCTGACTACAACATCCAGAAAGAGTCCACCCTCCATCTCGTCCTGCGTCTGAGGGGCGGGCAATAAGTAATTATATGGTGAAGAGATTTAAATGACAACCTAACCCAATAAACGATGAGAGAATAAATAATGTGTTTTTGCCCTTATTTTGCTAATCTTTTCTTGAATAACACAATGACTAGTTTTCATGTTAAAATCCTACATCCAGATTAATTCTGTATTATTACTATAGGTAATCTTACGAAAGGCAATGTTTGAAAGTTGATGTTTTTTGTATTTAATATAATTGAGAATTTAACTAACTGGAATTACTAAGGGTTATTATTTAAATACAAGAATTCATAATTAAAAACGCAAGACTTCAGCTGGGTTATTATAAAAAAAAGTCAGTGGGTTTAACTGACTGCTCATACATTGCATCTCCAATACTCTCAAGAGATTTTTGTTAGGTTATGGTTAGTTGTTTTTCTTTATAATTTGTTTTAACAAGTGGTTCTATTGAGTTACATGAATAACTTTGATGAGTCAAACCAAGAAACTGAAGTTATGTGCACAAAAGTCAAAAGTTATATTGGCTTTTATTAGGGAATATTATCCAGGAAATCTTGTAAATTGCTCCTTGTAACAACCTCTAGGGTAAAATTAGTAAGGAAATGTTACTGTAAACACAGGCCCCTTATTGAATAACTAATTGCCACATTGAGACACTAGATGTCACTGTTTTACTGTTAGTTAGCACCCTCAATGTCCATAAAGTTGCATTTACACATTTCCTATCTCACTTAACAGACATTAATAACCACCCAGTTTAAAACCGTGTGGTTCTTAAACCGGGGTCTGTGGAAAGCTTTCTTGGATAAATACCAGAGAAAACATACTATCAAAATATAATGAGGAACATTAAATGTAGTTGAAAACTAGGGAAGAAGTAGGGAAGGTGTAACAGGTCAAAGAAATGCACTTTTAAGGGAAACTCCGCATTTTTTACACTTCAAAGTGTACAGGTCTGGGGGACTATATGTTTTAAGGGCTTTATACATGTTCGAAATCTTTTATATCATTTGTGAAT